CACACACACACACTCTTCATTGGATACCCAAAGCCTCAATTACAATAGGGAAGTGGTCTGCAGATATAAAATAGAATGGCCCTTTCTTTTCAAGTCAACATTTTAAGTCCATATATTTATATTAAGTTTGTATTTCATTACCTCAATAAAAGATCAGTACATTTTCCAGTAGACATGTGACAGAAATATAGAAAAAAATAAATAATGATGCTGCATTTGGCAGATCCAATGATTGTAGAAGCAAGGATTGGGGAGTGGAGATGGCCCCTTTCTGGCTTAAAACAAGGAGTGGAGTGAAACCAGCCCTGTCATGCCCCATTAAGGGGAAAAATGTGCAATTTTCCAGGTCTCCTTGGGTCCCTCTCTTTAGATCCATCATTGATTTCCAGAAGAATAACAACTGCAGACCCAAAGCAGCTAGAAATGGGATAATTTACCAATATAAATTATACTGTGTATAACGTCTGGGACTGGAGAGCTTTTTCCAGACTGTCCTGAGTGGGTCAAAAACATTTTCTGGCCTGTGTGCATCAGCTGTTTTTTTCAGTATGAGTGGAATTATCCAGGAAGCTTTTGCCTACTTCAGAAAACATTTTTTAGAAATCTTTATTTACAATGAAACTCTCTCTATCATACATAAGATTTACTGTTAAGTTGACTTAGGAAGTTTGACTGTAGTTGTTTATATTGTGTATGTCTTTGCTACCAGCACTTGGTTGTTATAAGATAACCTGCAAATTGATTTAAAATAATGCCAAGCCTTAACAGATTTTGTCATTTGTTTCTCTTTTCAGTGACTTTGTTTTGTGAATTTCTGTGTGACAGACTCAAGGATCATTACACCATTATTCCTCATGCTTTGTTTGGTATTCTTGCTTTGGTATGAGAATGTTGGATTTATTTTCGAAATATGTTAATCTGACTGTATCATCTCTGGAATTAACAGTTGTTCTCTTTTTTCAGGTTGAAATTGATTTTGAAATTGATGTTCAGCAAGTTTGACAAGTCTTCAGGAATTGAGAAAATAGAAGTCAATATGGTAGACTGATGATATTTCCTTATCTGACAAAGCAAAAAAATCAGCCTGCCAAGTTGACTTTTATTTTGTCAAATTCCAGGAGAAGGCAAGTCAAACTTACCAAAACATTTATTTTAAAATCAATTTTAACATCAGAAAGAATCTCAATCAACAGAGAACGACTTTAAATGTTAATCTGAATTGGTTATACTGAGACCACAGGGCTCAAAATTAACTTTGTCATTCAGGAGCCAGTTGGCGACTTACAGAAAAATTTTGGTCGCCAACTTATTTTATATATAACTTACACAAGAACATGATTTTATATGTTACTTTGCATGCAAGAAAAGTCACAATTGAAGAGCGAAAACAATTAGAAACAACACGAGTAACACTTAGTTATAAAGCTACCGTTGTTCTCAGATGATATGTCTCTGGTCCGAAGGTGATGGTTGTCTCCATAGTCATTTTAAATGAAGC